GAGAGGGAGAGATGAGAGGGGGAGCAAATTAAAGTGCAGGAACTAACGTATTCTTTGGATCACTGCCAGTGATTATTCGCCACTCCTCATACTCCAATGCAGGATAACATATCTTAAGAGGCATATGCCCGATAATATCATCCCATTTGGCTTCAATCAGGTTCAAAATAGCACCATTCTGTTTAGGAGTCCCCAAAGATGAAACAATGGACCAAAGGTTTCCAAGTGTGAAAAACCTAAAATCCATGTGAGCTGGCTGTAGATTGCCAATTAGATACCCACCTTCTTCTGGTATCCAATCCATAAGCCATGAAGGAATTTGTTCAGGATAGATATTGAACTTGTTGGTAGCATCCATGGAGTACTCTTCTGTTTTATAGCGGTAAATCTCATTAATCTTTTTCATGTCAACCCAATAATATTCTCTGATGTGGAATGACAGTGCACTGAGTCTATTATTGATGGCCCTCACTAAATTCTGTGATCCATCATTCACATCAAGCATCTCACGGGAGCACCGTAGAGCGGAGTAAAATAAAGCCTACAGATCAATTTTTGTAATTAACAGGATGAACGAATTACAGAAGGGATGCAATATATGCACGCAATGTTACAACCTTGTGTTGCAATTAAAAGGTTGGCTTAATTTATGAGACAAACACAAGGCAGAACAACAAACAAATTATTAAATAAGATGAACTTACTTGGATCTCAAGGGGGTGACCATGAATACCCATCCGCCGATCTATCATGCAGGACCCATCAGTGACAAGCAGAGAAGGGAACATATCAAATCCATCAGACAAACACAAGTTCATGATCAATTTTATGCCTGTCTGAACATCCACCCTCTCTTGCAAGGTATAGTCACCAGTGATCTTCCCGTATGCCCTCAACAAAATAATCCACCACAATCCTGTAATACGTCAATTAAATAAATTCAGTTGCATAAATTTATGTTTCTACTATATCAGGAAGAAAAGTTCACTTAAAAACAAGTTACAAAAAATGGGGATTGATTAATAGTGAATGTTGCACCCTTTCTTTGGAGGAATTACAACAAACTGGAGTCATGAGTCCAGTGAACTCTATGTACTAACCAGAATCCACAGGAGCAACACGGCCAATAGCTGATTCGCCAAAATCTGGATCTAGCACTTCCTCAAACTTATTATCATCAAGAGGCACAGATCTAACCTTGAAACTTGCAGGCATTAACCCCTGTCCAGGACTATAACAGTCCACAGTTCTCTCCCAACTCTGAGTCAAAGAAAAAAAAAAATGAACTTCGAAAATCCAGAAATATCAACATTCTGATATAAGCATTTTAGTCTGCCAAACATTAGCCTTAATCAATGTGATTAAACAGATCCCGACCTTTGCATTTCATGGTGGCTGTATCTCCATAGCCAATCGAGGAGACCATTAAAAATCTCTCAGTAACTTGGAAATGTAATGAATGCACAAGAAACCACGAATATCAGTACTAAAGTTGCAACTAGTATGTGTTCCCTGCTTCGCTGGCATCTAAAAGCATATTAAACCACGTTTATGGTGTAAAGGTGCACTTTTTGCACATGATTCTTTTTTTGCAGATACATTGGAGGGTTAGCTGTTTAGCATGGCAAAAGTTTGAACCCCTAACCTTGACCACAAATTAAGGTTTTTTAATTAGAGGGTACACACTTGGCCAAACTTGGAACTTTTTGCTCATGATGGAAAGCAATAAAATAAGTTTCTGAGAATGGCACATGATGCAAGTGGCATATATCCAATAAAAATTTTATAAAGATTAAATCTCAGTTTTTTATATGGTCCATGGAATCCGCAACAATGAGGAAATTGCTAATGAAGGAAATTGTTACTATCAATACATTTAAGAGCATTTAATGCAGCAAATGACAATTTACCTGCAACTGCAGTGTGTGAAGGAGGAAATTCCTCACAACCTCTCCTTCTCCTCTAAACAAGAACGCCAAAGCCGAGGGCACAAAATCACGAATAAACACCTGATCATAGTTCAATGGCTGTTTATCTCCGGGATCATTTGCGGCCACCGTACCCACCGGCGACCCACAATACATCACCACTGCGTTCTCCAACAACCTCCACGCCTCCTTCTCAATTTCACTCTGCTTCCTCTTGTCACCGCTCTCAGTAACGCTTATTCCATTAACCCCCTCAAGATCCTCCTTTTTCACATCCTTGTCATTAGAAGCGACTTCAACCCTGGCATCAGCTTCTCCAGCGATTCCCTCATCTTTGTCAATTCGTTCGACAACCAGAGGCTTGACATTGATCCCGTTCTGCACGAGGATCTTCTCAAATTTGGCATCGTTTACACGGGTCTCAACGGACGTCGAGAAATCCCTCACCGTTGGTACGACGCGGGATTCAAAGATATGCCTTGACAACGCAACAGACCGACCAAATCCCGGACTGGACAAGAACCAAATTTTCTGGGTATTGCCGGAAAAGCGTTGAGAGCCCAGGAAACGAAGAGGGTAGGCGTGGAATTGGGAAGTCTGATCGAGATTGAAAGGGGATACGTTGGTGGTGAAATGTTGGTGGTGGTGAAACTTGGGAGGCGGAAGTCCGAAGAAAGGAACAGTCCGACGAGCGATCAGGAGCCGTGAACGACACTTCATGGTGGAATTGCTGAAGGAGGTAATTGT